GGCTGGGAATGTCGTGAAAGGAGATCTGTCGTTAATGTAATGTCAAAATTGTCTTCACCAACCCTTTTTTGTCGTAAGGGGCGACTAAGGGGATCGGGTGGTGAAACTCACTGTAGATTGATGTTCATGTTCAATCACTGGAATGTCTGGCCCAAACTCTATTATTATTATTGACAGAGCGCCGTCAGACAGCTGCTATATAAGTAAGAACAGCGTTAAACAGAAACACGAAAAACACATCTTCTCAATGTAGTGCACCCAATCAAAGTTGCAAGTGAAGATTGGTATTTGTTTTCTACTGTCTTGTTTTGCATCACACAGTGTAGTATTATTTCTTTGAAGTGAAAAAACCACCATATTTCTATTTTTCCGAAACTATGCTAAATAAAAAGTAACACTCAACCTCATCCGTTAGTACGCATCACTGGCCATCTTGGGATATGCTCCAAAAAAATCACCTCTTTCCCATTGGTGTTCCCTGCCGAATGAATAGATAGTGTATAAGGCGCTGCGCTGAGTTCTGGTTCGTTGTATTTTCTCTGTGTGTCAATGTTATAGGGTATAGAGACTGTTTATTGTCTCTATCACATATTATAAATCTGTGATTAGCCGACAGATTTCTAATCTGGTAATGATTTTCAGTTTTATATGATCTGACCACACGAGCCACGAGTCATAAATGCCATGATTTGCGGTTTGTTTTCTACAAACATACAGAACTAAATATTTGATCTTGAACTTTTATCAATCGAGGCCTAGGCTTTCAAATATCAGCGTCAAATCACCATGGTTCTTCGACCAAACTCCGTTCTGTCGCCGACGTGAACGTTTTTCAGGATGCCAGAACGACGAAGCATCCAGTTGGTGCCACCTTGTCTTATTATTAGCCTGTTTTTCTCAAATATTGGACGTAAAAGCTATCGATGAGATAATATTTTATGACTCGGAGAAGCAAAATAATAATGTCTGGAGTTCATAAAAAACTTTTTTTGGTTACATTTTGTTTACTTTGTCAATTTCATGCAAATAACGTCTTATAGCCAGCCTATGTATAGGCAATGTTGAGAATCAATCTGACTACCCTTTCTTTAATTTTTTTGCTGTCATGTTTGTCTTTTTATAAGTATGACTGTTGAAATATGTAGGCGAGTGTAGAAAGTGAATGTACAATGCAATATCATTATGTCATAATTGAGTGAGTGAGTATGGTTTTACGCCGCTTTTAGCAATATTCCAGAAATATCACGGCGAAGGACACGAGAAATGGGCTTCACACATTGTACCGGTGTGGAGAATTCAACCCGGGTCTTCGGCGTGACGAGCGAACCACCGCAGCTCATGTCACAAATAGGGGGAGGTCAAATATATTCGAGTTATAAATAGTCCAACCTCGTCTCGAAACCCTGGGGACCAGAAAAATTGTTCGACTTGTCCGGGTTCGATAGTATTTAAAACAGGGTCATGCGAGTCCCAGAAAATCGACAAATACCCACATTAGGTTCGACACGTACGGGTTACAATAGTGAAAACATAGTTTACCGGGACTAGACTGTGAGTTCCACACTTATTTGAGTACATTGTGTGGATAAGGATTTTATAAGAACAATACAGTTGTATCATTTTAAACGGAGTATCGTGATAGTGGTGTTCAAGTTTCTGTGAACATAATACATGGATACCTCCAACCTGGGTATAACGAGTGAAGACCACTTGTGGCGTCCAACTTGAAAGTTCAACACCAACGTTCCTTTGTGCTGATAGACTCCACAAGATGATCACCATATTACCTCTCTCTCACTGCTACCATAAAGATGGCAATGTTAGAGCAAGATAGAGATATTTAAGATGGCGATACTAGTATCTGAGCAAGAGTGGCAGAGAGAGAGGGAGAGAGAGAGACACACACAGAGAGACAGAGAGAGAGAGAGAGATGCTTGAGCAAGAGAGGGAGGAAGAAGATTGAGGTCTTAGGGTAAGAAAGGGAGCGAGAGGCTGACTTAGCCAAGAGAGCTGATTTTACTTCCGCTTCTTCCTGATTACCCGCATACAGTCAGCGGTGAGAGCAGATTTACTGGAAAAGTCGCCAGGGTTTGATGACATACAAACACATCCAGCCTTTGCAGACGGTCACATCGACCAAGGCGCTGGATTTTACACTGAAGAATCGCGTACCTTTTTCGTGCCAGGATCGGCTTGACCTTGCTTCGAAGCAATGAATATCATTGATAATATGATAATTGGCATGTTATCTGTGACATATATACCCGTGCTTGTGAGGTTTTATTGAGTTAGGATTCCCTTAACTCACTTTGAAGGCATCCGAAAAGACAGAAATGATTCATTTGTGAACAACCTGAAACTGATTGGTATTCCAGTTAACATAGTCTCGGGTAAGGTTAAGGCCAAGAACAGATGAAATCCTTTAGCAATGACCTGAACTTGTTATCCCCCGCCCAACCAAGTTGGCGGGGCATATAGAAACGGGCTCCCCCCGTCCGTCCGTCACGTCTTTTTCTGGAGCATAACTCAAACGTTCAATATTTTTTCATGAAACTTTGCAGGTCTGTCAGGTACATGCCGAACTGGTGCCTTTTGCTATTTAGAAATTTTTATTTTTTACGTTTCCATGGCAACAAGATGGACTTAGGTTCTGTGAGGGTAGGGTTCGTTTCCGGTTGGTTGGTTTGTTGTTTAACGCCGCACTCAGCAATATTCCAGCTATATGACGGCGGACTAAATAATCGAGTCTGGACCAGACAATCCAGTGATTGACATTATGAGCATCGATCCACGCAATTGGGATCGATGACATGCATCAACCAAGTCAGCGAGCCTGAGCACCCGATCCCGTTTGTCGCCTTTTACGACAAGCAGAGTCGCCTTTTACAGCAGGCATGGGTTGCTGAAGACCTATTCTACCCCGGATCTTCACGCGTCTGGGTTCGTTTCCGGAGCATAACTCATAAACCGTTCAATATGTTTTCATGATACTTTGCATGTCTGTCAGGTACATGCTGAACTGGTGCCTTTTACTATTTAGAAATGTTAGAAATTTATATTGTTTTTTTTTTCCATGGCAACAAGTTGAACTTTTAGAAATTAATGAATTCTTCTTTTAAATGCCAAAAACATTCAACTTGATACCCATTTAACCTGTTTAAGGAATCTTAAAAGTCATAATAAAGTTTCTTTGTGTGCCTACATTTTGTGTTTGAGGTATCTCCCATAGTAGGGGAAACTGTGCATGCCTTCTACCAAGTTGTCAGTATGTGCCTCAATAATGGTTGAGGGTAACTTTCGTTTCATGACGTCATTATCAAATCTATCATCCCTACTTCTGCATTGATTATGACAGAGATGAGTGTGCGATAAGATGGCATATTTCTCTATGAAACTTTTTACAGTGTTCAGCACATGTTGATATGAAGACTTTTGTGCTGTAGAGTTTTAACATTCACATTTATAATATTGTCTTGTTTGGTTTTTTCACTTTTGCATATCACATGGTGTGACCATATTGTTAAAAAGTCACAACATAAAATGTGTGTGGCACTCGTGGCAACCTACTTCCTCGCAGTGAGTGCCGGTAACATGTCTTGTAAAAATTTTTTCTTTCTCCCACCCTAATGAATGACTGGATTTGTCAGTTTGTACTTCCATCATGTTTTTGTGTGGAGAAGATGTCATTTTTTCTTGAGCTTCATAGAAATTGTGTTTTGCTGCATTTTATTTTGTTTCTTCAGGATATTTTTGCATTTTCATCAAGTAGATGCTCCCCTGCTGCCTTTTACACCTGACACAATTTTGAATATTTTCAAATGTATTTGTTTGTGTGATCAAATTTCACTATTGTTAACATAATATACACTTCATTTGCTGGGCAGGAGACTTGGCCACGTTAGTGGCAAACTCTTCTTTTTTTAACAATTTCTATGACAAGTTCCACCTCGGTTAAAAAAGGTTAGGGTTTGTTTCGATTTAATTATGTCATTAATTCTGCAACAGAGGCGGGGGATATAGCCACGTTAGTGGCAAACTCTTGTTGAAAATATGTTTTCTTTTGATCAGTCTGTATGAAACCAACCTGTTTGAACAGCCTAAACTGTACCGATGATTTGTTAAACATTCAATTTTAAGTGGGAACGGGTGGCCCAGTCGTTCGATGACCTGACATTAGTTGGGCAAACTTGCATCCTTTACGCGTACGAGAAGCACCATATCCGTGCTCGTGGGTTTCACCAACGTAATAGACGTCTAAGACTTGCATCTTTCCGTGCCTTCCCACACGTCAAGCTTAACCGAAAGCGGTGTTTAACAAAAACTCACTCACACAAATGGCGACCAGTTTAAGGTTGGGATAACCCCCCTCTACCAATAACAATACTAGGAGAAATGTTGTTCTACTGACAAACGATAAGGTCGTCATTGCTAAATAATGTTAGTGTTCGAATATTCGTCTATTACCTTGCTAGACCAAAATGCAAGAGAACCCGGTGGCAGAGTGGGTTAGATCACTGAATTTGTGTGCTGGCGATTAGGGGCCGCACTATGGCAGCGCGGTTTTGAATCCCGGATGGGACTCAACCCCAAAAAGTACTAGAACTTGTACTTTACTAAGAAATTGATATCCCAAATATAACATTTGTTACGTTGGGTCGACAGAACACGCGAATGTCGATTTCACCCTTAATAGATTAATATGGCACATGCTCGTCATATCGACTGTTCTTTCAATTGTTTTTCAGTGTCCCTCAAAGAAGATCAATTTATTTGTAAATATTGAGAAACGCACCTTCATCAGTAAGTATTTACTCCGAAACGTTGTGTTCTTCATCCATACATTTCTCTAACTCATGTGTATCACTTCGAAATGCCTTTCAAAGACTTCAGTGTCCCTTAGTAGTGATAAGCATTGTAAATGATAAAAACGCTTCTACCATTCCGAGTAGGTAATACACATTTGATGTTCCGAAGAAATGACGAAATCAAAACACATCAAATCAAACAACAATTATTTTTTTATCATTTTTAGTTTCTATTCATATTTGAAGCCTTGTTCAGATCAGTGAATAGAGTGGATGTACAACCACTGAATTTGACATTCATTTTACATCTCGTTCCAGAGAGAACCGTCATTTGCGCTGATCACACAGCAGGCCAGTCTAGCACCGGCATTACCGTTCTCGAGACTGGCGGAGTTGTTTCCCCTGCCAAGGTCATCCTCTCCTGCGTGCACCTGGAACAATAACGGTAAACCAACTCGAAATCAACAAATTAAATACCACAGATATACCAGTTGATACCACTGACCCAAAGAGCGCTAGCCCTATCTTTTTTCTGCACCATGTCGGGGCGGTCGGGTAGCCTAGTGGTTAAAGCGTTCGCTCGTCACGCCGAAGACCCGGGTTCGATTCCCGACATGGGTACAATGTGTGAAGCCCATTTCACCATCACGCTGGATATGATATTGCTGGAATATTGCTAAAAGCGGCGTAAAACCATACTCACTCACTCTGCACAATGTCTGTGGAGCATATGAATGTTATGAAACCAAAGCCAATCTTAAACAGTCTAGCCAGCTCAATAAAATGTCCCATAGACTTTATGTTGGTCTAGCTCTGCGCATGAAGTAAAAGCTGACTGACACTTTAGTCAGTTTTACACAAAGCGATTTTATCTCAACCACTGTCTCAACTCCTGTATCTGTTCTATTGTCTTTGTGTCAGGGAATGTCATATTCGATTTGAGTGAGTGAGTGAGTGAGTATGGTTTTACGCCGCTTTAATCAATATTCCAGCAATATCACGGCGGGGGACACCAGAAATGGGCTTCACACATTGAACGCATGTCGGGAATCGAACCCGGGTCTTCGTCTTCGGCGAATATTCGATTTGAAGAAGTCCCCTTCTCATAGATAGATGTTAAAATAAGAATGGTCACATTTTGGTCGAAAGTTTTATCTGGAATTGTAGTAAACTGCCCCACATGTTTACATGCTTCTGTATACAGATACAAACCCCAGTGAGACCATCTTCAACATATATTGGCAACCCTGGAACACGAGTGTTACAAATTTATCTAAATGTTCAACATCTTCGCACTTGACAATAAGCTTGAATCATATTTATTAAATATTCCCTTCCTTTTAGCTCTTTCCACATCCTGTCACCGCTTGCCAATTAAAACGGGAAAGTGGAATAACACTCCAACAGGTGATCGTACTTGTAAATTGTGTTCAGTGAAAACTGTTGGTGATGAATACCGTAATATTTGTAAATGTACATAATTTAACAGTGTTTGTAAAGTGTATATCCCATTTAAATATGGCAACCAGCCAAATATGCTAAAGTTCATAGAATTGTTAACTCCAAAACAAATTCTGTCCAGAAGAAACTTTGTAAACATACTGATATCATCATGAAAGCTGTGCAAGCTCCTGGGTAATCCTCTGCCCGTCTCACTATGCTATCTTTGTTTGTACCTCATATGCTCAGGGGGCGGTCGGGTAGCCTAGTGGTTAAAGCGTTAGCTCGTCACGCCGAAGACCCGGGTTCGATTCCCGACATGGGTACAATGTGTGAAGCCCATTTCTGGTGTCCCCCGCCGTGATATTGCTGGAATATTGCTAAAAGCGGCGTAAAACCTCATTCACTCACTCATATGCTCAGGTCCTCGGCCTGACTCTTACAAAATTCTGTTCTGTTCTGATTCCGTACTTAACGCTTACGAGACACCAGCAATCAACTCTGCCTAACAGGTGCGTATACAGTCTTTAGCATGATGTCAGGAACATCTATATAATACCTGCCAGAGTTTTAATCACAGCAGAGTTTTCAGCTCGTAAACCTTCAAACAATCTCCAGCGACTTAAAGGGTGGTGGAAATCCTGCTGGGGAACCGGGACCGGGATTTATTGTAAGTCACTATGGTTCCTGGTATGGTGGCCTAACTTTGGTTGTTGATGATCTATTGTCAGATTAATCCTCTATGTACATTGTGTTGTGTAAGAGTCGCATATGTTCTCATAATTTTACAAGTAAAACTGACATCATGCGTTATTATATTGTCCTTCGGCGAAGCGCTTTTTCACGTTATAATATTAACATGTGTGACTTACCTGGAGAAAAGGGACCTGATGGGTGCTGGGATATAATTGTGCTGTGACGTTATAAAGACGTTTGACGCCAGCATATCTCGTATTGCGTGCGGACTTACAAAAATATCTTATTCTTCTGTGGTTATTTCGTTATGTAAAAAACACGTTATTTCAAAACCTTTAAGCACACATGTCTACCATTAATCATACATTATACCTCAAATCTGCAATTATAACATAAACAGTTATATTTCGAAATATGAGTCCAAATTTTTGATGTCATGCATCACTGTAATAAATATGAACTGAAGCTTTCGAATTGTATTTTTGTGTTCCTAAGATACTGTAGATTGAAAATATAGCGAGATGTGATTTTGAGCCATAAGGTCCCTTGTCGCATAGTGGGTCCCTTATATTCTGTTGGGTCACTTATTTATATTATAAGCTTTTGAATTGTATTTTTGTGTTCCTAAGATACTGCAGATTGAAAATGTAGTGAGAACCATAAGGTCCCTTGTCTCATAGTGGGTCACTTATGTTATACTTGGTCACTTATTTATGTTATATTAAAAGCTTTTGAATTGTGTTTTTGTGGTCCTGAAATACTGTAGATCGAAAATTTAGTGAGACTTAAGGTCCCTTGTCTCATAGTGGGTCACTTATATCATATTAGGGTGTTGAAGCTACAAAGTGTTGCCGACGTGAAGGAATTGACGGACTCGGATTCCGGGTAAACTGCCAGGCAAAAAGTATACACCCATGTTTGATGGAGGCTAAAACAACCACCAAATAATAAGTATTATTATAATTATTGTTTGGACCTTATATTGACCGCATACGCCTCATGTCAGGAATATTCTGGAAATATCATGTCGGTCTTGATAAACAGCAAACAAACAGACTGAACAAAGTTTCACTCCGTCGGGAGCATCATGACACACCAGCAGTCAAGCTGTGGTCAAATCGTGTCATCCTGGGCAACGTCAGGGTGCAGCATGGCTTAAGGAAAGATGGGAGTTACTTTATAACAAACTGGTCATCTCAAGCCGGCTCCATCCTCGATTATCCAGAGTATTATATCTCCATTCCATTATTCTATAAGCAGGGATCTTTTGAATGTCATTTCTGAAGTTTTATTCATCCTTAACATGTTTGCCGGAAGCTTTCTTGATTACAAATGAAATAAGAGGCGTCTGACCTACAGAAAGACTACCTCAAATTTCAAACACACAAGGTTTACCTTCAATTATACCGCTGGTGGGCTAATCCGAAAGGAGGATTTCATTATGTCATGATAAAATGGATTATGTCTTACGCTTCTGTGATAAATGATAACCGCATGGTTAACATAAAGTGGAATCCATTTTGCCAACTAGACTGGCATGTTTTATCCAGTTTGGATACTATTAGAGACAATAGCGGTACCTATCAAAAAAGGTATACTCAGTGAAATGTCATCTCCGGGAACAAATTGCATTGAACATTATTCTCAACCAATAAGATCGCAGCACACACTCCCATTCAATTTAAAAATTAAAAAATAACCTGGTTTGCATACCACAATAGCCCTTCCCAGGATGCTCTGGTTGCCATCAAGGCTGGCAAGGGGATCTGTGAACGATGTCACCAGCTGGCCGTCTTTTGGAACGTCAATGTTGCCGAAGTCTCCAACATGTCTGAACCAACAAAAGGAGCAATACAATTGAATATTGCAGAATAGTTATTATTATTCAGTTCATTTGTTGGTACAGAGAGAGTGATCTTCACAGATGACCCACCTTGGCACGTTAATGAGTGAACTTATTTTCTGTTCTTCTCGCTGTGCATTATAAGTGTATGCTGCTGCTGCTGGTGATGATGATGATGATGATCATCATCATCATCATCATCATTGATTACAAAAACTTTTATCATCATCATCATCATTGATTACACAAACTTTATCATCATCATCATCATCATCATCATCATCATCATCATCATCATCATCATCATGTGTTACCCAAACTGTGATATCAAGTTGTCCAATTTACTTTTCTTTGCTATCATTCTATAGCTGAAAAACGACGCGACGTCAAAGTTTTAACTCACTAATTCATTCACTAATCTAGCCAAAGAGTTCCGGCTTCTATTGTTCTATCCTGAAGATACACGCGACTTTGATAACATTTTAATGTCGATTTTGGTAATATTCATGTTCAAGCAACATCACGGTGGATATCATTAATAGGCTTCACGCACTGGCACCATATTGGGAATCGGGGGACTTATTAAAGGTTGTTTGATCATGGTTATGTACAGCGTTCCAGGCCTGTGAAAAGCTTTCATAAAGTTTAAATGTAGACTTGTACCATATGTCTTCGTGTTCGTTCCTGTCAACACTTGACTTGTCTTTGCATGTGTTTGGACCGTTGCCACCAGTGGAACAGGAAACGCTCACCTTTTCGCAAACACCTTGTATCATCAGTATTTGATAGTGATCATAAACACATGCTCATGATTTTGTTGGAATCGTACAATGGACTCTCATGGATATGGACATATAGCTGTACAGATACGAAATGCCTCACATTTAATTGTTACTAGAGAAAATGAACGAATGCACTAGTTTCGTTTATGTTAATACCACTTGATGGCAGTTAATTCCGTTTATACAAAATGTGAAGTAATAAACGTGTGTTACTTATTGGACCGTATGCTGTTTAGAATGCATTAAAGTAAGCTTCCCAGTAATTATCGTCATTATCGTCATCTGAACAATAAAAAATAAATAAATAAATAAATATCGTCACTATATTCTTCTCTGTAACGTTTGTAACGTATGTTGCAGGATAAAGTCAGACATGTAATAGTATTAAATGATTATATACTTTAACAGTCTCAAGTCACTGCACAATTGGTATTAAATTATTATTAATAGCATAAATGGTTGGATGTAAGACTCCCGTGGACGACTGATGCCGTCTTAAAATAACAAGATTATCAACTCGTATAGTTTGCAGCTGTTGCGGCGAAACATTTAAGGCAATACTTTCTAATAAGATGTCAATTCATTTGTTATTTCCAAGATAACTGATCTTGCATTCCTGTGACTGACATTTGGTTTCTGAAGGATCATATCTTTAATTTGTTAAGCACCAGTGCCATTTTTTGAAATGTCACTTGGTGACAGTCTAATGCCGTTTGTACAATATTAGTAGCGTCATACGACTCTTGTTCAGAAGTTGTTTGATCAAGGTTCCAACATTCAAGGCCTCAGTAAAGCTTTCGAAAAGTTTTATGGTACACATTTGGAGGGTATTTCCAAATTTGACGTTTCAGTGACTAAAAATGATGTCCGATGCAATTCCATAGTTTGACTTGTGCCTTATGTTCCCATGCTTTTTCAGGTGAACAATTGACTTGACTTTGAATGTGTTTGTGACGGGTTCCACTTGTGGGTCAGGATACGCTCACCTTTTCGCGAACACCTGGTATCATTACTATTTGATAGTGATTCATAAATACTTGCTCATGATAGAGTCGGAATCGTACAATCGTCTCTGCAAAGATGTCTATTGGATATGGAAAGGTTTTTGTCCCCTTTGCATGTGACCGTATATTGTGTTGGTTCCTATTCCAACTGTGACATGATACAAGGACGTAAAGACTTGATGTATGAGAGAGTCAGCTGTTTCCAGTATATAAAACACAGCAAACAATAAATGTAATTTCCATCAGATATTCAGAATGCACTGTAATGTGCTTTCAGTAATTATTGTTAATTATATTCATCATATTTTATTGTTGGAGTATATAGTCATTTATGTAATCAATTTAGATGCATTGTGTACTGTGACGGTCTCAAGTTACTGCACCTGTGACATGAATTTATTATCAGTCACATGAATGTATTTACATGGACCGTCTGAACTTACCATGATGATCAAGTAGTGTATTTTGCAGCTGCAGCGAAGCATTTTAGGATAGTACTTTTTATGAAAATTCATATAGATTTGATGTTTCAAAGATTTCGTTGCAGTGCAAACAAATATAATATTGTGTATATAATATCGTGCATTCTTATAATTGACATTTTTTTTCGGAAGGTTCATGTAAATAAATACTTTAAGTTATATGTAAGCATCTTGTAACCTAATTAAAATGTTCATTAGCAACGAAACATGAAAGTTTGTAAAGAAATTAGATGCATGTTGATTGGACACATGCAATACATATTAGTCAATTCAAGGTGTAACAGAGTTGCGACACTTTGCCGCGCCAGGACCCGGTCGTGGGGGGTTTGAATCCCAAAGTCACGTCGATGGTAATCCTTGATTTGTGACTACTAGTCGTTGGGGTTTCATCCCCCATTAAGCTGACATATACACTCATTCTTTCAACAAAGAGGTTATGCCAACGTCACCTGGTACCGTCTTCAGGTGCCCCGTGGTTGACGTTGAAGGGGCTGTAGTGTCCACCGGCACTAGTGCAGCCGTCAGTCAGGTTGCCGTAGGTTTGCACGTGGAAGCCGTGCTTGGTGACGTCGTCGGTTGGAGGGAATCCAGATATGTTGACCTTGATTTCTATTGGCCTTTTTCTACCACATAACTGTGACACCACAAGAGGAGATTGTCAAGCTTATGTCTTATGCCAAGGGATATTTGAACTGCATACATGGACAATAATATAACAGTATAGTAGTACCTTAGGATCATGTTACGCAATAGAACAGTTATCTGATGGACTGAATGGAGTTTCCAGCCACATCCGTAGCTATAGACATAGCTATACTTAAAATCATTTGGCAGAACCATCGATTGCCGGATTTGTAAAGCATATGAACCGCCAACTCTGCGTCAACATATATTTTCCAAATCCTTACTTGTTTCTAATCAAAGGGGTCACGTTATTTGAAGCACTTCGCGAAGTGTGACCAGTTCAATTACAATATAGATCTGCACTATCGATCTGATCGTCTTGACTGGGCGCCGCCATTTTGTTTGAGGCAAATGCAAGTGATATGATACCTCTTATTTATACATTTTAAAGCGCTCTGTTCCAAATTAAATAAGGGGTATCTACTCTACAAATTTAGAATACAGTAAGTTTATTTCCTAAATATATGAGATGATAAAGGATGCACTGAAGTATCCAAGTGATCATAAAAGAAATATCTAAGTGATGATTAAGGATGTAATGAAATATCCAAGTGATGATAAAGGATGTTATGACATATCCAAGTGATGATAAAGGATTCATGAAATATCAATTGGTGATAAAGGATATAAAGAAATAATCCAAGTGATGATAAAGGATGTAATGACATATCCAAGTGATGACAAAGGATTCATGAAATATCAATTGGTGATAAAGGATATAAAGAAATAATCCAAATGATGATAAAGGATGTAATGACATATCCAAGTGATGATAAAGGATGTAATGAAGCAGTTCTACTCACATTCATCTCCTTGAAGTCCACCCTGCCGGACAGGTTAACCTTGGCCGAAGGATCGGGGGACAGAATACAAGACGCATACTCTGTAACAAGTGAAGAATAGGTTGATTACATGTTTGACCTGACACGATACTTTCCTCATATTTCATCATGTTTAGCACCTAGTGTATGCTGTTTGTAGAAGAATACCTCCAATGTTCGTACCTCTGAATGCCACTATTTTGATCATTGAATCTCAGGTTTTGTTTGACTTCAACAGCAAATAAAACATGGAATTTACCTTTGACAATTACATTTCTGAATAGATCGGACAATGACATTGGAAATAATGTTACTGTAAGTACTCACTGAGGAATTAGACGTTCACTGAGAAAAAAAGTATCGTGCATTCTTCTAACTTAATTAGTAAAAGCGGTCAGAAGGTTAGTAAACAGTGAATTTACTATCCTGTCTGGTAGAATGCACGCGGCAGCGGTAGATAGAAGGATATCATAGTTCAGATTCCGCGCCAAGACTCACTTCCGCCTTGATCAGTGTCACCCTCGCCATTTGGTTATGAGTCAGAGAGTTCGATAAATGTACACTGGATTTCTTGTGAATAAGGAAATCCTCGCATTGATATACAACATTCAAAGGCATTAGTAAAGCTTTGAAAAGTTTTGATGGAATACATGTGGAGGACATTTTTAATTTGACGCATCTCTGACTTAAATAATGTCTATTGTGACTTGTATCATTTGTTATGTTCTCATGTTTTTCAGTTGAACAAATTGTTTGGCTTTGCCTGTGTTTCTGACGCGTGCCACCGGGAGGACAGGATACGCTTCCCTTTTTGCGAACACTTACACATATATTGTCATCACTAATTGATTGTGATTTATTAACAGGTCCTTATGATGAATTCGGAATCGTAGCAATTACGGAAAGTGTTTTGTATCGAATACTGTAAGGGAAATTCTCGCGATCACGAATTCTCGCATTATTGGCAAATGTTTTGTTTCCAAAGGACGAGATCGCGAGAATGCGAGATCGCGAGAATGTCCCTTGCAGCATTCCATAGATTTGTTTCTTTTATTTAACCATTGACTATCCCGCATAGATTTGAATATGAACAACCCGCCATGCAATAACTAGGATATTGCTTACTGCGTTGACCAAAAAAACCACTATTGATCACTCAACTTATATCTTAACATGTAGGTGTCAACGTATTTTGCAGACTTACTTATAGTTACGCAGTCTTTGAACAGATATTCGAAGATGTTGACGTGGCCAGGTTGAGTTATTCCTTCTTCTTGGTTTAGTCTTTCGTGGAGAAATGCCAGGTGAAGGCTCTGGAAGAAGGCTTGCCACAGATTCATCTCGGACAGTCCCTTTAAGAGTGCGGTCCTGTTGATGGTTAACAGAGAACTATATGATCTGGAATGCGTAAACCCACTGTGCTCACATACCCATGAGAGGAGGCGATCACTACACGGCTGGCCGCTTTAAAAGCTTATAGTAAGTTTAGCCTTAAGATTAGACTACATTCTATCATATTTATATATAAATGGCGCCATTTTAACATTAACATATAAACAGAAAAATATAAATAATAGCATTGTTAAAAGGAGTTATTAAAAAGAGTTTCTGCATCTAGGTGTTTTGTACGTAATCGACGAGGAAAAATATAGTTCGGATGTTCGATATAATTTCTGAGATACAATGAGTGAGTATGGTTTACGCCGCTTTTAGCAATATTCCAGCAATATCATGGCGGGAGACATCAGAAATGGGCTTCACACATTGTACCTATGTCGGGAATCGAACCCGGGTCTTCGGCGTGACGAGCGAAAGCTTTAACCACTGGTTATAAACTACCCCACCGCTGCACTATGATACAAAATACGATCAACTTAAGATAAGGTTGCTTTGTTCAAGGGGCAGATGATTTTACCAGTGACTATGCTTTTGACATCTGGCGTCAATCAGGTAGGTCCGAGGACTGTGATATGGAGGAGTAGGTCAGATGAATCCATATTGTGTCAAATATATTGAACAATATATCAAACTCTTTCATGTTTTAGATAAGAATGAAATTAGGCCGACATACGGAGCAGTGTTTTATCCTTCATTAAATAAAATCTTTTTTTTTTTTTTATTCATGAAATAAAGTACCTATATGTATATAGCCGAGTCCGCAATCGTGCAAAGGACAGTAGACAAAGCCTAGTCCAGTTTGTGCTTGCATTTTTATGATCTTGGTTGGGACAAATTAAAGTCCGTATAATTGTGGGAAAATGAAAAGATAGGAATGTATCATTTTTAACCCCTGATAAGGTCATTCAGATGAGTGGGCTAGCACTATAAAGTCCGGACTAGTAAAAGCAGCCACACACACACACGTGCATGCACGTCGCTATAAAGGTTAATTAATCTTGAACTGGGCGTTTAACTCCATTTCACCTTCACCCGATCACCTCATCTTCAACAATGAAAATACTCTTTTGTGTGTAATACTGTGCATTCTCGCTTACTCGCACAATATAAATCCACGACTTTGTGGGTAAACCCGAGAGTGAGAAATCGCAGGAATTTGGCCAAATATCGCGTTCTCGCATTCTCGCACTTTGGGCTTTTTAAGCTGGTTTCGAAAAGTCGGGATCGCGAAAATGCGAGAACGCGAGAACGCAAACTGTCCCTTACATTATTCCATAACTTCTTGACATGTACCCACAGAATTAAGAAAAGTTCAACTATTCACATGTTGTCATTGACAGGTGAGGTGAGTTGAAATGGGGTTTAACGTCGAGTCCAAGATTATTGCACTTATATAGCGGCATGCATGCACGTGTGTGTGGCTGCTTGTACTAGTCCGGACTTTATAGTGCTAGCCCACTGAGATACCATGCCGCAGTTTAACATGAATACCCCACTCAGACACAGTATACAGACTCTGAGCCGACCAGTTCTTGTTTAAGCCCCTTAATGCCGAGCGCCTGACAGGGTAACAACAAGTACCATCCTTTAACGTCTTTTGGTATGACGCGGTCGGGGATCGAACCCCGGACCTTCCGCTCTCCGGGCGGACGCTCTACCACTAGACCACACACACGTGCGTGCACGTCACTGTATAAGTGCAATAATCTTGGACGCGACGTTGAACCCCATTTCACCTCACCTCACACATCCCATGTACAAACAAAGATAAAAGTCAGACAAACAAACACAAAAGATAATAATTTTAAAGGCCGGCAGAACTATTCTCATATAGTATTTTTATAGAAAGTATTCATATACACAGTATGCAAACAACAGCCTGTTCTGCATCACCTGACAAAAAGCACTCATTCGGTTACCCGTGAGTGAATATGAATTAAGCCTATATATTGACGAATATTCTATTTTATTTTTTTTAATCTTTTCTCTGTGACCAGCCATAAGTACGCAAACGAAGTCCAATAAAACGTAATAACTGATTGCCATGACCGTTGAGAAAGTACGTGCACATGTCGGTATATATTATATTTTGTATACAGTTTTTGTTTATTTGATTTTTACTCTGTAGTTGGCAATATTCCAACTTGATCAAGGCGGTCTGAACCTAACTGAATAGAGGGGATTAGATGGTAAGGCAAGACAGTTGTGACGACAGTAGTTATACGTTAGGATGGTTTCTATATTGGCAACGGGTGTTAGGGCAAGGGCGTCCAACATATTTCTGTGATAGCGTATTTAAAAAATGAGTGAGTGAGATCACTGACGTTTATCATCTGGTCGCTTCATGGATTCGCACCCACGATCACAGATGTCTGACAACCCTCTGCAAACATTGTGGCACCTTACATGAATCGAACCCAACGTGTCTCCACCATGTGGTCGGAATTACTGCTTGCAAAAGGAACACCAAGCCATGCTATTACTCCCATCTATGGTCACACATGCTCACTCACCTTCGAGAACAGTACGTCGACACAAATGAAACACGAAGCTGGATCCTCTTCTAAAGAATATGAGATGTTTTAATCAATTGTCTGAAATCTGTCTCGTCCTGGTCTGAAGCGGAGGTGTGTCATCCGTGTATATAACAGTTCCGTACAAAAATTGTACGCGTGTGCAAAACCATCTGTTGCCATTCATGACACAGCGCTTTGAAACTGTTCTCATCAAACAAGTGTTTAATGTTCCGAATATAACCTTTTCATATAAATGAAGGATATTCAGTATAATTATGGCTGGATTATTCAATTACGGATAGGTTTTATTCGTTCTGAATTATTCATAGGCTATTGAATGATTAATATATTTCTAAACTTAACTGTTGTGGTCGTCAATGGAAGAATGTTATCAGAACTGTTCATTAACATAAACAGGGGCACGGGTGGTCCAGTCGTCTAAGGCGCCGCGATTCGCTGTGCAGAGTTGCGTCCCTTCGATACGCCAAAAACCAAGATTGCGGGTTTGAATCCCAGTTCCCCCAATTATGTCTCTAGGTTTGTCAGCACCATACTCGTCGTATGAATCGTGAGATTCACCATAGAGGTAAATATCTGAATCACCTCGGGCTTTCGACACTCATTAACCTGACACAGTCTGATGTAACTGGAATACTGTTCAAAGCGGCATTAAACCCAATTCACTCACTCACTTGCCTTGGTCTATGTTTTCCCTGGTAATGGAGGAACGTCGGCCATACAAACCATGAAGTACTGACAATGTAATTGTTATGGCGTTGGTCAACGTACACCGTTAATTAATATCTGAGCGTACACAATGACGTATACATCAGAAAGTTGTCTCAAACACAATGTCCAAATCCTCTCCAACAACCATCATGACGTCACTAAAAGACAACTGCCAGAAGCAGTCAACATTCGCCACCACAAGCCAACAATAAACAGAGATCAAGGCTATTTCATCCCATCCGCTCATTATGAAAAATCACCCTACCTATGTATACTTAATCCTAATAATTAGCTTCATGATTTATTGGCTTCCTCATCATGTTCTCTGTCCATCATGTTGTTACAGTAACATTCTTCTGTAGTCATTATTTAACCTACTCATGTTAATATCTATCATGTATGCAATTGTCGTTTCTGCTAACCCTCCACCTACTATATATATTCTGTACCATGTCCAGCCTTGCGTGACAACGGTATAAGGATCTCTACCAAAACGTCGCCTTTATAGTTAATTTTTTATATATTAAAGAAGTTGTTATCCGTAAATTGTGTCTACTATGTCATCTGTCAACTTTTTAGTAATGCCTATCAAACATTTCACGAAAGGTGACGTTACACTGCTATCTCGTCTTAGTTTATAAAACACTTGATCATACACACATTCAATCAATATTTGAGTCACTCAGATATTTCCTGGCACTTGTAATAGATTGTCGGATATAATTCCTTATATGTCCCGACTTCCATCACTATACATGGGCCTTTCATTTTACCTTCTGCAATGTTTTATTGTTAATGATTGTATTGCTCTTTGAGAGCATAATTTAATTTAATGTTCTTAATGTGGGTACTTTTTCTGCTTTGTCAAAGAATCCATGACACCATGACGTGACAAACATACATGTATTTACACTGAATAATTAAATTATTTAGTGGTCCACCGAAGTGGTAAGACCAGAACCGAATTCGGAGTTACCTTCCTTTCGTTACGGTTAGTTTGATGTATATGATTAACAATCAGACTTTTGTAGAATTTCAAAATAGTAAATCTTATCAATCTGGTGTTCTCCGAATATACTTTACCTACACATTGTTTTTACTCTGAGGACAAGAGATTATAACATAGGTTTAATCATCACGTCACTGGTTCTTAGAGAGGCAGAGGGCGTACGGACATCACGGGGAGCATCGTGCAATAAAGACCGACAGGAGACAGGAGCTGGGTTTAATGTACCGGCTGTCAAATTGATACTGAGACCAAATGACACTACAGTCTTGTATTGATTTAAAAAAAATAAAGACATCGTAGAGAGGCTATTTTGCGAGATATCCAACGTTCATATATATAGTCGAGTTTGGTGTACATTAACATTGAAATTATAATAGTACTATATCTTTTTTTGACATCTTTGCACGTGACATCTCTGACCCATCTGTCACCAGTTGGCTCGTGATCACGATGCTCCTATTCAAATAACCGACTTTTTACGTAAGTATGCTACACTAAACTATGACGTTATATGGTAACGTGGAATGATACTTGCCCGTCCTTTGAAACAATGAGGCATTATCACATTGCAGCGACCCACTGCGGGCCGTTTAATAATAATTCTATCTATTTCAGATGCTTTATCCCGCAAACGCATGGTGTAACAGATTCATACCCTTGGTACTCAAGGGTTCTTTATCCCGCGATATGCCAAGGAGAGGCACGGGCCACCGAGCCGTGGATGCCCGTGCCTATTATAAAAACACAAGATGAGATTGGGTTAAATGGCCGAGGGTGTGCAGGCACTAGTGGGCTACTAAGCTGCTAGTTGGGTATACCAAAATGCTACCGTTGCCATGGCCACTAGCGTGGCCAACGGCGATTCGCAGCTAGCCCTGCTGGCCTGAGACTGCTATCGCTGTCCGGCCCCCACGGTAGCATATTTAAATGCTACCATTGCTTGGCAACTACCACGCTGCCAAAACAGCAACTACCGCTGCTAGCCTAAGTCAGACTACCGCTGCCCGGCCCCAGGTAGCCGGCCAAAGCAGATCCCACTGCCTGGCCCCATTACCAAAACCATTGTGCGACTACCGCCGCGGACCTAACTGTCAGCTACCGCTTGACAAGACGACTTCCGCCGCCGGGCCCATATACGTGGCAATTGTTTGCCACAACGTATGTTATTTTACGATTCACCGCCTGAAAAATTGGGAAAGACAAGGTTCCCACTGAGAAGCAGGTAACACCGGAAAGGTTCCCGCTGAAAAGCAGGTAGCCTTAAGCACGAGTATTAATTTGGAAGCAAGTTAATTTGTTACTAGCAGTGTAGCCCACAAGAACCCCGCCAAAAAGCACCAGAGTGCTACCCCACACCCACGGCCACGCGATACGCGGAGATAGCATTGTTGCCGGGCTTGCCTATGTACTGAAGTAAACGTCCTTGTCCTGTACATGTATTGCTTTGATCTGTCTACCAACATTTACGGCTTCTTCATTATAGATGTACAAACACGGAGTTATACAGTTTGAGGCAATCAAGTTTATTGTATACATAGCCATAGGCCTATACAGTGAGTACGCATATTTTACATCGAAAATGTTCTCCCACACGATGGAACTTGATGATATATTACTTTCCCCACACCACCGTGCGCGGTGGGTTCTGCCCCCGACCAATGACACAGCATCCTATTCTTGGTCCTGAATTGCCGTCAACAGCACCGGCGCCAGGGTCATCAGTCGCTCCACGAATCTACAAATGTTAATAAAATTTCAGTTTGAATTGAATTGAATACTATTTTAAAAGTCAGCACAGCAGGCTGACTATGCCAGATGCCAGATCGTGAAAACATTTGAGTTTAACTGCTGTCAGAAAAAAAGGAACAAAAAAGGATAGTGTGACGAGAGAGACTAGGCCAGGGCATCTAGATGAATGAGAACAAAACCTGGAGTCATGACGTGATCGTCCCAGTCGCCAGGTGTTGCAGGCTCAAATCAAGTCCTTAAAAAATCACTCCAGAGTTATTTGGGCTAAGGTTCAAAGCACCCTCGAGTGCTTTCAACCTAGGCTCAGGTCATGATCACTCCCCTCTACTGTCCCCAACACACTTACTCAAAGCTCGGAATACTCCCCTTTGGGCTGAAATGAACCCACCACATTGTTACAGTATTCTTCTACCCCAGTTCAGTTTTGGCACATAGTATCAATACGTTCACCCGATGACCTGTTTAGGTAGTAGCAGATTGTTGTCACCATCATGGTGAGGAGAAGGGAGAGAGGTGGACGGGTTGGATGCGGTGGGCTTGGGTGTGTTGGGGGGTGGGGGGATACGTTTCATTAAAGAGCGGCCGACTATTGTCGGTATACTAGTCAGCTGTTATACTGCATGCATATACTCGATAGCACATTTATGTCCATTTTTTAAATGTCTCATATATATAGCCAGGGCATTCTCCAAGTCCTTATATTTCTTCTTGCGGGACTTCCTTCTTTCAAGTGTATCAAAGTTCAGTTTTCAAAACATCTATTTAATTGAAGATGTTCGGATGGGAACCTTCGACATGATATTTTTGTACGTGGAACAACACTGCCAAAGTGCTTCCACAAACTGCGAATAAGGTTACCTTCCAAAAATTCGTGATGTACTCTGTAAAGTGGACAATGCCACCTGCCTCAAAATAACATTAGATGGCCAAAGTAGACACAATTTAAGGATAACAACTTCTTTATTTACTGTAAAGGCGACGTTTCGGTACAGATCCTCATATCGTCGACAACGAATGAGTGAGTTGGGTTTTACGTTACTGTGACCTGTATTTCAGTAATGACATGTCAGCTCACACAGGATTGTTTCTCTGTTTGTTTGTTGTTTAACGCCGCACTCAGCAATATTCCAACCTTATGACGGCGGTCTGTTAATAATCGAGTCTGGACCAGACAATCCAGTGATTGACAACATGAGCATCGATCCACGCAATTGGGATACGATGACATGCATTAACCAAGTCAGCGAGCCTGACCACCCGATCACGTTAGTCACCTCTTACGACAAGCATAATCGCCAATTATGGCAATCATGGGTTGCTGAAGACCGTCTACCCTGGATCTTCACGGGTCCAGCTCACACGTATTGGGTAGGGAAACCCAAAGGGACCACGTGTTCCACCTGTGTGAAGCGTACGACCACTGGTAAGGTCCCATAACTGGGAACATTAACAAGCCTGGATCTTCACGGGGCCAGCTAACACGTATTGTGAAGGGAAACCCGAAGAGCCCACTTCGTAGACGTGTTCCACCTGTATGACGCGTACGACCACTGGTAAGGTGCTTTACATAACTGGGAACATTATCAGGGCGAATCTTTGTTCAAACCCAAAATCAATGGATCCTGGTGCAATAAAGCCATAAAACTACACACTGAATTTTAGAGTCCGAGACGAATATGGTGGTCTCAGACTAAGAATCATAATTTTAAATCGAGCTGTATTCGTACTGTACGTCTGTGTTGTAACATTATACATGTATAATAAGGCACGCATACCACAAGGCTCCTGCCGATGAGTGAGTTCGACCCGAACAGCCTCGCTACCCCATCAAAAATGGTTGTATTAACAGTGCCATCCGCTTGTTCCATGACGAAACTAGAACATAGCACAGAAGAGAAGTGGAATAGAAACAGGCTTGTGCGTGAGTGAGTATGGTTTTACGCCGCCTTTAGCAATTTTACTGTAATATCACGATGAGGGCACCAGAAATGGACTGCTCACGTTGGGAATCGATCCCGGGCCATCGGCGTTGCGAGCTAACGCTTTAACCACTTGGCTACCCCTCCGCAACAGGAAGAGAATAGAAATTGAAAAACATAGATTAGTATATACATTGTCTTTGATAAATAGTTGTAAGGACAATATCATTAGTAACGTTGACCTCCAGCTCAAAAAAGGACGGACGTCGTCTCCCTGTGTCATTTTTAAATCCTCCATTGATCAACTCATGATTTGATTTTACTCAAAATTCGTCATGATTCACTCATATTTTTTGCGATTAAAACCAGAAAAGCAGACGTTTGAGATTACCTCGCTGTGCAGTTAGGACCGCCATGATTAGTTCCAAACGGGTTGAAGGGTTCCCCAAGGCTTGCACAGCCATTACTGAGGTCTCCGAGGGTGTGGGCGTGGAAGCCGTGCAGAACGACGGTGTCGTTTGTCATGAATCCTTGGAGTTCAAGGTCAATTCTAAGGGGCGAAGGTCTGTATGTACAATACTGAAATAAATAAACAACAGACTGAGGGCTTAAACCAATTTCAGAAATATGACGACAGGATACATTAGGCGTAGATTGCACACATTGTTCCCTTAAGAGTGAGTGAGCGAGTTAGGTTTTACGCCGCTTTTAGCAATATTCCAGCAATATCACGGCGAGGGACACCAGAAATGGGCTTCACACATTGTACCCATGTCTGGAATCGAACCCGGGTCTTCGGCGTGACGAGCTAACGCTTTAACCACTAGGCTACCCGACCGCCCCTGTTCCCTTAAGAATCGGCCCGGGCACTTTCTTTATAACTGTGCCATCACTTCGACCCGTCTAAAACAAAGTTTGTTTGTTTGTTGTGTAACGCCGCACTCAGCAATATTACAGCTATATGACAGCGGTCTGTGTAAATAATCAAGTCTGGACCAGACAATCCAGTGATTGAAAACATGAGCATCGATCAATTCAGTTGGGATACGATGACATGCGTCAACCAAGTCAGCGAGCCTGACCACCCGATCCCGTTAGTCGCCTCTTACGACAAGCATAGTCGCCTTTTACGGCAAGCAGGGGTTGCTGAAAACCTATTCTCTCCCGGATCTTCACGGGTCTTTAAAACAAAAGTGTCCATCCATAAGCGTCTTCCTTGTATTCAGATGCGTCGTGCCGGTTACTATAAACCTGCCACAAATATGCTCATGTATACACAAGCTAAATATGTTAAGCTCCAAACGTGTTTCGAAATGTGCATAAACGTGCTTAGGACTGTGTTAAATCCTGATCGGAACAGTCTTTTCGTGTGTCAGATTTCACCAAATACTCACTGCCCTCACAGCACCCGCCACCTCTTCCCAATCAGATCAAAACATATTAATAGCTTAATATTTCAAGCTTTCTACCATTTGCAATTCCATTTACTCGAAACTAGAGGGGCTGTGGGGTAGCCTAGTGGTTAAAGTGTTCGCTCGTCACGCCGAAGACCCGGGTTCGAATCCCAACATGGGTATAATGTGTGAAGCCCATTTCTGGTGACCACAGCCGTGATATTGCTGGAATATTGCTAAAAGCGGCGTAAAACACTACTCACTCCAAGGAGATGAGACTGTAAATCGAATGCACACTGATCCTTGATGGGGGTAATAATGTATCGCTTTCAGCATGCTTTAGGGTTTGGATTTTGGATTCATTAATAATAATAATAATAATAATAATAATAATAATAATAATAATCAAAGGCAAATATCAGTGTCGGCAAATGGCAAACAATGAAATCTAGTTTGCAATCAGTAATATATAATCATTGATTATTTCAACAGGTGATTATTACAAAAAGTAAAAAGAAAAAATATATTTCAAAATATCAAATCTTTTAAGCAATACATAAAAAAGCGGTGTCACTGAGGTCCTAATATTGCCCTATTTGAGCAAAGATTCCGACGAACAAATATTGACTTTGTTGTTGCCTTACGTTAAGTGTTTGTGACAGGCGTATCGTGCCGCTCACTTGTTCTGTGGTTCCGGGGTCAGAGGCAACTCTGCACACAGCGTTCACTGAAATATACAAACAAACAAACCACCTGAATTTTTTTTCTACTTTGAAAGTTCAGTGCAGCCTTCGATCTCCACCATCAACTCACTCACTCACTCACTCACTCACTCACTCACTCACTCACTAGTAAAACTATAATGTATCATATATTTCTAGTCTGATATACGGCATATGGGGTTGGAATACTCTGGACCAAGACGGTTCTACTGTATTAACTCAGTTAAAATATGCGTCATGCAAATATTGTTAATTATTAATTCAATAAAATAGAATATGCATGAAGGTAATTTGACATCCAGATGCTGAAGCCACTAACCATTTACTCGTTAGGCCTTACATCATGTCAATATGCACGTCGGTGTCACGTTCATGACTGCCTTACAGGGTTATTCTGATGGTAAAACATTAAGAATTAATGAACTTTAATTATTCAATAAATTGTACCAATGGCGTCAGACTTACATCAAATATTTTAACCTACATGTACATGTTTGTTTATTTGTGCGTTGTTTAATCCTCACTCTGAAATATTCGAGCTCAATGTCACCGGTCGGTCAACATTCGAGTGATTGATGTTTTGAGCATCGTCCTACGTCATTACTATTACACGTAATCAACCATGTCACCGAGCCTGACCACCTATCCATTTAGTCGTCATGAAAGGATGCTAGGGTATCTTCTGTAGCTAACCCGGAATAGCATGACATTCGTTACTCATAAGTCATAATACGTGATGATAATGACGTAAGCTCTGACAGTCCCTTCCACGAAGTGAGTGAGTGAGTTGGGTTTAACGCCTCTTTTAACAGTATTCCAGTTATTTTCCAGCGTGTCAGCTTAATGTGGAGGGAAAGCCCGCAGTGATGCTTGTCTCAGACGTTTAGCCTATGGTGAAACCCACGAGCACGGGTATGGTGCTGACAAACCTAGTGACATAATAGGAATGACCATAGGTTTCTGGCGTGCCCAAAGGGACGCAACTCTGCACAGCGAATTGCGGCGCCTCAGACGACTGGGCCACCGGCACTCCCAACCCCTTCCGGACAACAGCTCAAAGAACCTAAAACATAATAAGTCACCTGGTTCTGATGGAATGGGAAATGAATGTTTAAATTCAGCTTCGTTTGTTTAACATCGCACACCGCAATATTGAAGTGAATTGGCGAGTCTGGGCCAGATATTCCAATGATTGACATCATGAGCATCGATCTTCGCAGTAGGGATACGATTACATGCATGAACCAAGTCAGCGAGTCTGACCACCCGATCACGTTAGTCTCTTCTTACGACAAGCACTGGTTGCTGAATAAAGATTCTAACCCGGATCTTCACGGGATTTTAAAGTCAACAGGATACAAAATAACCATTGCCCACGAAACTTTAATAAAATTGTTCTCAGCAACTCGTTCCCAGATGGCTAGAGAAGGAGTATTATATGTCCGCTTCACAAGTCTGGAAGTATGCATGACCCAAACACCTGTTGAGATATATCTATTATTGATTCATTGCGTAAAGGTGTTAAAAGGAGTGGTTAGTTTGGTTGGTTGCTTTGTTGTTTAACGCCGCACTCAGCAATATTCCAGCTATATAACAGCGGTCTCTAAATAATCGAGTCTGGACCAGACAATCCAGTGATTAATATCATGAGCATCGATCCACGAAATTGGGATCGATGACATCCATCAACCAAGTCAGCGAGCCTGACCACCCGATCCCGTTAGTCGCCTCTTACGTAAAATGAGTGACTGTGGAAAATCAAAGCCTGTGGCGTGACGTTCATAACGTAATACCGGAATCAAAGGCTGGCTTTCAGTCAAATTACTCTGCCATTGCCCAGATACCGAGTGAAGAAAAGGGGCAGATTTGACTGTTCTTTGTTGACTTTTCCCAAGCCTTGGCCTGTGGTCATCATAATGCAATATTTGGAAGAAGGCGCTTGGCCTGGGGTATATCATCGCCCACAGCAATTCCTTCTGCATTTGCACAAATGTATGCTGATGATCTGTCAGCAGTATCAGATTCAACAAACGATGTCAAGAAGGAAATTGATATTATTGAAAAGTTATGTAAAGCTACACGAATGAATATCAATCTTACCAAGACAAAGAGTTTTGTATACAGATATGCTGGACCGCTCAAACTTTATGAGAAATGATATCTTAAAGGCACAGAGTTAGAAACTGTGATTAATGACAAATATATTAGTTCTTTTTTCACTCCCCAACTCTAATTGACCAAATGACTGATATGTTTAAAAAATTTGGCAGCACAAGCCGCAAAATCCTTATTATCAATCAACCGATTTCAACACAACTTTGGACATATTACATGTGATGAAAAGTCTCTGGATGATTATGGAAAAACAACATGAGCAACCAACATCAGGACCTTGACTTTCTAAACCAAAAACGAATACATTGCAAATCCAACTAATCCTAAATCTGTATCTGGAGATTTATTATCAGGTCTTAACAAGTATAACCTACGAAACAACCTTTGTACATATATAAGCTGTGGTGTATTTCCTACAAAGAGAAACTTGAAGCATCTGGTTAATAAAACCATTCATGAATATGAAGAAAATATGCTGCGCAGAAAAGTTTCTGTCAATACAGGTCTTTCACGCTTCGGGGCGGTCGGGTAGCCTAGTGGTTAAAGCGTTCGCTCGTCACGCCGAAGACCCGGGTTCGATTCCCGACATGGGTACAATGTGTGAAGCCCATTTCTGGTGTCCCCCGCCGTGATATTGCTGGAATATTGCTAAAAGCGGCGTAAAACCATACTCACTCACTCACCCACTCTTTCACGCTTCATGCTAATACTCACAAAGCTTACTCACCATATATTATGGCAACTAGCATATCTGTACCCAGAACAGAGGTCAAGTTTAAAATTTTGTGTTAGCGTTTCATCACGAAACAAAACTTCCAGGGACTGTTTATTGTGTAACAAGCATGCCTTTGATTATGATAATCACATCATATTACATTGTGAAGCCTACTGCAGGAAAGATATGAACTGTTTTCAACTTTTATTGATCTGCTTGATGTTGAAACCTATGTCCAGTTGGAATTACAAGATGAAGAAGATATGTCGTCATTTTTCTTTGGTGCTGATACTCACTTCTCACAATGTATTGATATAGTTACATGGGAATCTGTTATACTGATATTTTCTGCTTGTGTACTTACACTAAAGCCTTACCTTGATTATGTCATCTGATCTAACCTTTTGTACAGTGTGAATGGCATAACACTGGTGCTACTGTCTTATATTACCTGTACATATATACAATACGAGTTTGTGTGAATACGTTTGATTAATTATGTATAATCTTCGGATTAACTTCTGGAGGAAATAAAGAATCTCTCTCTATTGCCACGGTTGTATGTGTATGAGAGAGAGAGAGAGAGAGAGAGAGAGAGAGAGAGAGAGAGAGAGAGAGAGAGAGAGAGAGAGAGAGACACGCCCGGGCCAATGCCGGTTTGTCGTGAAGCCCATTAAGATACCAAGTCGCAGTTTAAAATGGATACCCCACTCCAACACAGTATAAATACAGACTCTTTGACCCCGTAATGCCAAGCGCCAAAAAGTGCCCTATTTTGAAGTATTTTTGGTATGACGCGGTCGGGAATTGATCCACCGACTATCCGCTCTCCAGGCAGTCACTCTATCCACTAAACCACGGAGGCGGTCGAAGTCAAACGTGTATCACTTTTTTTTATATTTCCACAAAATACATGGATGATCAGGATATAGGAAAACATGGTGATTAACCTACTGCTCGTGTTTCTTACCTGTTTGAAGTACACATCGTCGAGGCCTGAAATACCTATGGAACCATCGATGCGCATCCCCAGGTGTAACGCTATGAATAGCTACTAACGCCAGAAGTAGAACGCCGGTCGCACTCATCCTCAACACACAAAACATCATCGCCGATGACTGATCAACTCTCTCGGACGCTCGTCTTATATAACACTCCTAATGTCATCCGGGTAACTCTGGGCCCTTTGTTCATCCTATGTACAGGTGGGCGTATTGTTAATCTCATGTACAGGTGGGCGTAGGCATTTGACGTGTCACTAGTTCGATATTGCCACACTATACTTGATCAAAAAGGTTTTTTATTTTTCTGTTTTAGATTCAAATGTCATGAGCTCCCTCTAATGTATGGACAGAGGGAAGTATTTTTGATAAAAATATGTTAAACAGCCTCCAGTGCTGAAATCCAAATTTCATTTATAGAAAAAATGCAAATGTTGTTGGTTTACATGCTACAAGGGTTACACAGGATTGTTATGTGGAGTAATGTGTTAGAAAATTGGACTCATGTTGGACTCCTGTTGATATCCAGGAGATATATAATTTGCCAATGGTTACAACAGCTCAGCTGTATGCATATATCTACTACTTCTACTGCGATTTGTAAATAAAAGCGACAATACCCTTTCCTTATTAATAAGAATTCAGAGTCGATTGTACGTTTCCAACCATATCATCAGCATGTGTTTAAGAATCACTATCAAATAGTGATGATTCCAGGTGTTCGTGAAAAGGCGAGCTTATCCTGCCCCACCGGAACCCGTCATAAACGCATGCAGATGCAAGTCAAGTGTTCACCTGAATAAACACGGGTACAATTGGTACAAGTCAATGGGCGTGATACTGGGATTCGAACCCGCGTTCTGTGGATCCATACATGCCAAATGATGCAACATTTGAATTGCATCTTATACGCTTTGAAGAGAATTACAAAAATATGAGTATGTCTATTTGTTTTGGAATAGTTAAATGGGTTTCTAAGGAATTAAGGATAATGTTATATGATAATTTTCCAATACGGTTGGGATCTTATTCCAAAGAGTAATCATTGCCACTTTCATCGCACATGGAAGACGTCCCATCTCTGCTTTTTTTGGTATAATGCTTAGAAATATTTTTCACAAAGTCGCTAGATGTCTTAATTCTCAATTCAGTTTACCGAAAGAATATCACCCTTTTATACCGAACACCCCTACCCTTTACCCTTTATTCCCCACGTGCTAAGTGAATGCATATTTCATTTCATGCTTATTTCATGATAATTGCGTAAATTCCGTTTTCAATGTCAATAAATTACCAAACGACGCGTTCTGGAAGAAGTTATCCTATCAGAAATCACTGTAAAATAACATTTGTGAAATAAGTAACTTCATCAAACATTTTCGACGATAATTACCTGTGTGTTTCTGTTTCGGGAGGGTATATAATAAGAGCCCACTTTGGCCGTTTGTTAAAATTACAGAAAACGTTGAAATATTGTTACAATAGTTCTGCAGACAAGTAGCTAGCCCTTCTTCCAACTATTGTTTCGATCTTGATCAAGACAAAATCGAATTATGATCATTAACAAATCTGTGACCATGATGAACTTTGTCCCACATGTTTGTTCTTCTTTTATCACATGTGGCACTCTGAAACACAGAAGACTTGCTCATGTTCAAGTATCAGAAAATATCTCCCTCCAACTTTTTAAATCAGTTTTAGATTTATTGCCATGGTATAGCATAAGTCTGTAACATGCTTATACTACTGGTGAAAGACATCAGGTGAGGCCGCGACCAAAACTGAACCGCAGTCACCAACAGCTTCCCAGATGGTTTTGGACTGGAATTCGAGTTATCTGCCCCTTGTTATTTTCATGAACATGGCAAACTTGATCGTTCAAGAAGTTTCTGGATGGGACATTTTCTATAATATATTGTTCCTTTAAGAGCGACAAGAAGGCGACGCGAGACCTTTTCGAACTGACTTATTTCTAATCTGCTTCCACAATACGGAACAAAACAATGCATTCCTGCCAGCTTCCATCACTTCTCTGGACTGGACTGGACAAATATTCGTGAGTGCACTCTTCTTAATTCTAGGGCCTGTCACCTATTGCTGTTGCCACTTATTTGACCTATTTTACAGCCGTTTTTATTTATTGATCACCTGAACCTGAGTGTTTAAATATATATTATTTATTTTTCGTTGATATTGTGTGGCCATTTCAATATTTCATAATTTAACCGATTTCTTGGTTAAACTCTCTACGTTTCAAATTGAAAATCGTTTGAATAAAGGTCTCTCTGAAATAATAACCCTATCATTTACCCAAAAAATGATGCAAGCAAATGTTACCGAGTAGTATTAGTTCTATTGACTTCATGTCAACAATATCCCTCATGTTTAATAATTTGGGTGTGTGTCTTAAGAACTGCTTAATCCAAGATCACGATTGCGACACATATGTCGCATGAAGCAGCTGTGTATGACTTACAGTTTAAATGCAGCAATTCAACACCCAAACATTAGCGATTGAACAAGTGAGTTGGTTAACTCCGTCTTGAGCAGTAATTCAATAATATCATGGCATTTCAACATTAATGTCGGATGAAAGCCCAACATGAAACAGGCGTCCGGTTTACCACATTATTAAAATCCACGATAACGGGCATACTTACAACCAGATAATAATAAACCGGACGAACGAGGAATGCGAACCCACGACCATTGATATCTCTTCATAGCGATTTGCAGCGGCTTAGACGACTGTGAAAACCATCCCCTTTTCCTTGGAACAAAGAACAGTTCAAATTAAGACAAGTGGTTGTGTATTATCACCCACATAAAACGTAAATACTATAATCGTGAGTGAGTGAGTGAGGAATATCCACTAATATCACGGCTTGGGGGCACCAGAAATGGGCTTCACACATTGTACCCATGTCGGGAATCGCAATACTACAATAGCATTCGATGTTCTCAAACATTAACGGTCCTGATAAACTACTTCTGTCTGTATAATACCGTGTAAGGATAACTACATCTACGGTATACAGTGATCGACATTATAAACATGACTATTTGTATGGACCGAAAGGATAATACTGTGGTCATGTGAGTATCACGTGACAGACCAGAGCACATCTGTCCACATTTCGATCACCGAAAAACAGTCGAATACTGTTTTTTTTAAAAAAAATTGATAGATAAGAAAGCAAATAATGTATTGTGATCATAGTGTACAATGAAACCGATTGATACTAACCTGATCACCTGTTGATCGCTATCGAGGAATATGTATTACATCCACTTATAGTCACTATACTTAGTGACAATTTAGTTTCATAGTGTGTTGTTTGAATAAGATAAAATGTATCTCAAAGTTGGTTTAAATTTGCGTTTTTAGATTTTCTGAAATATTTTCAGGGCTGTTCATAAGCTCCATATTACTGGTATTTGTTTGTGGGCCATCACAATTTATGTTTCCAAACAAAAATTTTGGTTACTGTTGTGTTGCTGTGTGGACATAGTTTATACAGCCTGATTTTCAGTTAAGGTAATTCTATTCGTAAATAGTGCGTTAGTGTGTATATTTTTTATGCATTATGGATAGACTATTTGGGTCGAAAGATACACTGAAGCTGATGACAGAATCATGCAGTTATCATGGCTGTGCATGTATTGTGTATAGACCTACAAATGTGGTTTGCAGATATAAGCAGCACTTTTTGTTTTTCCCTTTAAGTTACATCTATAGGAACATGATAAAAGATGTGTTTAACTTTGGCGAAATTTTTCTTGTTAGAACTCACGATTCATCTGTTGTTAAATAAACATATACTGGTAATTCGTTCTGACGTTGCTGATATGTCTGACAGTCAATAGTTTCGAATAGTACACTATGCAAGGTCTGCAACAGAAAAATTTATTATCTAGCAAAAAAGAACCTGTTTTTGCAGAAGGAAGGTTTCAGTTACATTTATCAGAGATGTTTCCGAGAGCGTACTTATCACATGCATTACTAAATGTTTCGAATCAAACGGTATTGTTCCAGCAAACTTTCCCACGTTATATATACTGAAGACCTGAAATGGCTGTAAAGGAATATTCTTCACTTAGTCTTCTGGTGGATGAGAAGGCAAGGAATTATTAGGGAAGTCAAGATCGTACTGGTATTATGCCAAATGTTCGTGTTTTTTGTGTTCTCAGTACGTGTACCACAAAACACCCCAGTCCTTTAGTTGTAATGCATATTGTGTATACAAGATTGTTGTGTTATATTTCGTTATTTCTTGCAGTTTGTGTATTAGCTTGGTATTATATCAGTTCATAATATTGATATTAAGAATGGGTTTAATTATTATAATGGATAAAAAGGAACGTTTCAAGTTATTATCTCCTGAGTCAGAGGTCTCGATAATGTTTTTTTTCTTTAGAGAAAACAGTTGGGTTATAAAACATGCTGCAGTAGTCCTTTCAAACGTAATGCAAGGGGTACAGCTATTTTATTTTATAATAACTTTAAACTTGAGGTTACACATACAATGATAGATCAAGAAGAAGGTAATTATGTAGCAATTAATGTTAAAATAAATAATCTTGTCAACACACAAAGAAATTTCAATGGACCAAACGTAGATAAACCAGAATTCTTTAAGAAAACTTGGACAGTCAGAAAATTATCATTTGTGATGATTGGAATCTGAATATTTTGGATATAAATAAGGATACCTAGAATTACAAACACAGTAATAATCCAAAGGCCAGAAATGAGCCAACTGGAATTATAGATTATTTAGATTTAAAGGATCCCTGGAGGGAATCTTACCCACATGACAGACGTTCCATTTGGCGGCAGCCAACTCCTCTTACGCAATATCGTTTAGATTTGTATTTAGTGTCAGACCCGTTAAGATTCCTGGACGGAATATGTCTTCAGCAACCCATGCTTGCCGTAAAAAGGTGACCATGCTTGTCATAAAAGGCGACTAACGGGATCGGGTGGTCAGACTCGCTGACTTGGTTGATGCATGTCATCGATCCCAATTGCGTGGATCGATGCGCGTGATATTAATCACTGGATTGTCTGGTCCAGACTCGATTATTTACAGACCGCCGTCATATAGCTGGAATATTGCTGAGTGCGGCGTTAA